TGATCCTGGGGTCTGTCTATAAAGCTGGGGACAGGCGGTTGGGGGACTCCTCACCCATATCCTTAAGCTCTGTGACCCTGTTTGGAATAGTCTCTCCCCAGATATTCTACAATTGCCCCCTTATCAAGTGCCCCTGATCTGGTCCTGGGGAAACCCCATCTCTAACAGTGGTAACTTCTGAACCAGCTGTGTCTGCCTCACTCCCTCCTGGGGAGGCCCAGGTTGGTAGACTGTCTTTATCCGATGGGAGCCATCTTTTCCCTGAGCTGGTAACCTGTGGGCCCCGACCCTCAAGGCTGCCTTGTTCTATCTAAAACACAGGAGACTTGGTAGTAGAGAGAGGAAGAGCACATGACAAGCCTTTTTCTGTTTCCCGTCCCTGACCTCTGGCCTGTGGGCAAGGTCCCCTCTTCTCCTTTCCCAGTCTCAAGGTTCTCTGAGATTCCTTCACATCTGTGGTGATTTTGGGTTTTTCAGCCTTTTTTTTTTTTTTTTAAATCAGCCCCAGTTGGTCATTCTGCACCTGGGTGCCTGCTGACACCTGGTTCTGCCTCTTTGCAGCTCTGCACATGTGCAAGCCATTCAGACTTGACCCTGGCATCTTCATTAAAAAAACGGGCAATGATGTGTGGTATGGCTGTGGGTAATGGTAGCCATGGTGGGGGCAGGGCAAAGCAGATAGAATCTGGTACACATTGTTTGTCTCAAAACAGGCCTCCTTGTCTTCTGAACACATTTTGTGTGGTGCTTGGGTAGAACCGAGGGCCTCTCAGCGTGAGGCAAACACTAACACTGAGCCTTGTTTCTTCTGAGATGGGGTCTTGCTATGTACCCCAAGCTGACCTCAGACTCAGTCCTCCTGCTACTGCCTCCTAAGTGCTGAGATCATAGGCAAGCACCACCACACCCAACTCTACATGTTTATGATACTGAAAGAGGCCATGTAAGTAATGGTGCCAGGCCAGGCATTGCGGTATATGCCTGTAAACTCAGCATTTGGAGATGGAAACAGAGATCACGTTGAGGTCATTCTTGGCTACATCAAGACCAATGAGGGCTACATAGTGAGACCTATATCAGAGAGAGAAGGGGGGAAGAAGAAGACGAAGAGGAAGAGGCAAAGGAGGAGGAGGAGAAGGAGGAGGAGGGGAAGGGGAAGGGGAAGGGGAAGAAAAGGAAGAGGAAGAGGAAGAAGAAGAAGGAGGAGGAGGAGGAGAAGAAGAAAGTCTGTTTGTGGTCGTGGTGGAACATAGTTTTTTTTGTTTACTTTTATACATATATGTAACATAAAATAAGTAAATGTAAAACTAGACAACGAAAGAAACTCCCCTGTGTTTTGTCTGTATGCGTGTATGTGTACCATGTGCATATGCAGTACCCCTCTGGGGCCAGAAGAGGGCACTGGAACTTCAGAACTAGAGTTACAGAAGGTAGTGAGCTGCCACGTAGATGCTGGGAACTGAACCCAGGTCCTCAGCAAGAGCAACCAGTGCTCTTAACCACTGAGCTGCTTCTCCAGCCCTGTGGTACATGTTTATTATTCCAGAAATGGTGAAGCAGAGGCAGGAGGATCCCTGGGGCTCAGTGGCCAGCTTGCCTGGCCAGATGATTGAAGTTCAGGGAAACGAAAGCTCAGGGGTCTTTTCCCTTGGACAGACCACTTGAGGTTGATCTTTGATTTCTACATAGATGCACGATATGTACACACAGGTAACACCCTTTGCCGCATCCCACCCCATCCAAGCCTCAAACCAAAGGAAAAAGTAACAAAGAACTGCACAAGGAGCCGGGTGACTCACGGCTGCCATCCCGGCTATTTGAGGGGCTGAAGGAAGACACAAAGTTTCCACCTGTCTGAGCTACACGGTGAGTTCAAGGTACCCTGGACCAGTTAGTGAAGCTCTGAATCAAGACTAACAAAAGAGGGCCTAGGACTGTGAATGCAGCTAGCAGTGGAGGGCTGGCCTAGCGTCACAAAAATAAAGTAACAGTGGTGGTAATAAATATCAATAAAATACTTGTTGAGACTATAGGTAAACCCAAAAGGCGTATTGGGCACAGACTGCCATTCGCTTCTTTTGTCTAGAACAAATCCACTCCTCTCTGCTGGTCCAAGGTGAGGTATGGCGGTAGGGTCTGGCTCGAGTGGACCTCTCCGCCCACATGGCTGCTATGGAGTTAGGAAACTGATCATGATATGGAAAGGTCAGGGCTTTGTATCCCTTCCTCTCTTCTTGATGGATTGTCCCATCTTTGATCCATAGAGTCTCCAAGGCCGATGGGACTGTGCCAGTTTGAAAACACACTGCTCTGTGTGTGACACAGGAAGGGACCTGAAGGGAAGGGTCAGAGCCACAGCAGAACAGAGGGCTGGAGCTGGGGACTATAAAAGACCTTACCAGTGCCCTGTACAAGTGTTGGGCCATGCTGCTACCTTCGCTGCTGTTGCTGCTGCTGCTGCTAGCTGGCACCCGCTGGCTGTGGGGCCAGTGGAAGCTGTGGAACCTTCATCTCCCTCCTCTGGCCCCGGGGTTTCTGCACTTTCTACGACCTAACCTTCCTGTCTACCTGCTTGGCCTCACTCAGAAACTTGGGCCCGTCTATAGAATCCGCTTGGGGCTGCAAGGTAAGCCAGTCTTCTGTCTTCGTGTGACCCCTTCTTCCCTGCTTGACTCTGTCATTTCCCCTCAGATGTGGTGGTGCTGAATTCTAACAGAACCATCGAAGAGGCCTTGATCCAAAAGTGGGTGGACTTTGCCGGCCGACCCCCGATAATACATGGTAAGGGTTAAGGCACAATTTCTCTTCCTCCTCCTCCTCTTCCTCCTCCTCCTCCTCCTCCTTCTCCTCTTCTTCCTCCTCTCCTTCCTCTTCCTCCTCCTCTTCCTCCTCTTCTCCTTCCTCTTCCTCTTCCTCCTCCTCCTCCTCTTTTTCTCCTTCTCCTTCTCCTTCTCCTTCTCCTCCTCCTTCTCCTTCTCCTTCTTCTTCTTCTAAGTTTGGGTCTTACTATATAGCCTTTGCTGAGCCGAAAATCACTACGTAGACCAGGCTGGTCTCAAACTCACAGAGATCCACCTGGTGTGGCCACTGCCCTGAGCTAAGGGTACTTCTTGGACTTTGGGAGCCAGGTAAGACCTTTGGTGTCATTGGTTGGTTGTGAACATGTCTTTCTACCATCCCTCCTGCAGGAGCGATGGACTTGGACCTGTCCCTGGGGGATTACTCTGTAATGTGGAAGGCCCAAAAGAAACTCTCTCGCTCAGCCCTGATGCTGGGCATGCGAGAGTCCATGGAGCCTCTGATAGAACAGCTGACCCAGGAATTCTGCGAGGTGAGGCTGGGTTCTTGTGGCCCGACCCTCTTGGGGTCAACTTCCCTCTTGCCCAGTACCCCTCTGTCCCTACAGCCTCTACAGCCTGTCTCTTCTCTACAGCGCATGAGAGCCCAGGCTGGTACCCCCGTGACCATCTGTAAGGAATTCTCTTTACTCACTTGCAGTGTCATCTGCTGCCTTACCTTTGGAGACAAGGTCCATACTACCCTCCTGTCCCTTGGGCCCACTCCTCAGCCCCTCCTGGCCCTCTGTGGGTCTTGAACTCAAAGCTTCCCCTCATGTTCCAGCAGGACAGCACTTTGGTACATGGCATTCATAACTGTGTCCGGGACTTGTTGCAAGCCTGGAACCACTGGTCCATCCAAATCTTGGATATATTTCCCCTTCTCAGGGTGAGGAATTGCAGCCCAGTCTTCCCTGAGTTGCAGGGGAGGAGGGACCACTGGTCTCCACCCTGCAGCTAACTCCCCTTCCGGCCCCAGTTCCTCCCCAATCCAGGCCTCTGGAAGCTGAAACAGTTCCAAGAGATCAGGGACCATATTGTAAAGCAGCAACTGAGGCAGCACAAGGTGAGCCTTGCAGGAGGACCGGTTCCTCTGGCTTCATCCAGTGATGTGCCTGACGCCCCCCACCCCTATCACTGCTGGGCAGGCTTCTGTCCTCAAGCTAGACACTCAGCTCCCCCTGCCTCTGCAGGACAGCCTGGTAGCAGGTGGCCAATGGAAAGACATGATTGACTACATGCTCCAGGGACTGGAGAAACAAAGAGACGGCAAAGACACAGAGCAACTCCATGAGGGGCATGTGCACATGTTGGTGGTGGACCTCTTCGTCGGTGGCACCGAGACCACGGCTACCACGCTCTCCTGGGCGGTGGCTTTTCTTCTTCACCACCCTGAGGTGCACTGTGGGAAGACACCTTGGTCCAGTTTCTCTGCTCTTGACTGCTTGACCTGGGCGATGCACTCAGAGGGGGTTCTAGGCTCAGCTAGAAGGCTGGAGGGAGGGGCCGCAGGCTGGGCAGCTGTGAGCCACTTGAGCAAAGTCTGGTCCCTAGAGTCCAACCTTGCCCTTTCCTCTCAGATCCAGAAGCGACTGCAGGAAGAATTAGACCTGAATCTGGGACCCAGCTCCCAGCTCCTGTACAAGAACCGAATGCAGCTGCCTCTGCTCATGGCCACCATTGCTGAGGTGCTGCGTTTGCGGCCCGTGGTACCCTTGGCCTTACCCCATCGTGCAACTAAGACTAGCAGGTGGTTCACCGGAGGTAAGGGTTGAGGGAGGGAGGCCTCGCTGGGCGCTCCTGACTCCACCCTTCCCTCAGCATCTCTGGCTATGACATTCCCAAGGATATGATTGTCATCCCCAACATCCAAGGCGCCAACCTGGATGAGACGGTTTGGGAACTGCCCAGCAAGTTCTGGCCTGGTATGAGGCAGATAGGAAAGGGAGTGGAAAAGGTCCAGCCTCTGCTGGGACAAACTTCTCTAACTCTCTGTCTGCTACCCACAGATCGCTTCCTGGAACCTGGCAGGAATCCCAGAACACCATCCTTTGGCTGTGGGGCACGCGTATGCCTGGGAGAGCCCCTGGCGCGGCTGGAGCTCTTCGTGGTGCTGGCTCGCCTGCTCCAGGCCTTCACGCTGCTGCCGCCAGCAGATGGCACCCTGCCCTCCCTGGAGCCCCAGCCTTATGCTGGCATCAATCTCTTAATTCCTCCCTTCCAGGTGCGGCTGCAGCCCAGGAACCTGGCGCCCCAAGACCAGGGTGAGAAATCCTTGACAGGCTAGGACGAGCCTTGTGCCTCACTTTCTCCTTTATTACTCTATTCCCCTCCCCTCCCCCCTGTAAACATGGTGCTGTGAGATTGCGGCAGAGAAGGCTTCCTCGGCGAGCTAGGCACAGTACAGGCACACTGGCTCTTCTCTGGTCACAACCCCTCAGTGCTCGGCAGTCATACCAGGGTGTGAGTGAGGTGGACAGCAGGCTCAGGTGCCCCTGGTGGGGGCCCGGAAATTTCTGGGTCTCCGCTTCATTTCCGTGAAGGACACCGAGAACTTGAAGCCCTTCCAGTCGTACCAGCTCACTCCCTGAGGAAAGGGTTGTCAAGGGAGGAGAGTCAAGACAACACCACATCGATGCCGCCTTATCCATCCCAACCCTGCTCCTGTAGGTGACTCCCAGGGTTCAGCCACCTCCCCCGTAATCCCTGAGCTGATGCCTTCTAATAAACTATTAAACGATTTCTTCAAGATTCCTTAGCAAGGTTGGCGTAATCGACTCATTTCACAGATGAGCCTCTGAGGCCTAAGACATTCAACCATTCATGCGAGAGTACTCCAGCCCAGGTCACCCAGATCCCAACCTGGAGCCCCGTGGCCTCTACAGTCCCCACCTGGTGATCCACTGTGCTCCCGTACAGCCCGTTGAGGTTGGCGTAGTGACAGTTCTTGTACCACCAAGCCCCACGATAGGAGACAGCGCAGGAGATGAGCAAATTGTTGGGGTCTCGATCACGGGCAGAAAAGACACTGCCACTGTGGTAGCTCATAGAGTCACCTGGCAGGGCATGAGAAGGTGTGGTGAGGGTCACCCTCATGCCCGCCCCCACCCCGTTCGGGCCCACACTTACCTGCGGTCCCGTGGTAGCCCTCCAGGTGTAGGCGATAGTTCTCCTTTGCTGAGTCTACCCGGAAGAAGTCATACTGGGCGAACACGGCTTCCTTTCCGGCTCGCAGGTCCACACGCATAGAGTAGTCTCCAGCCTGTGTCAGGCTGTGCAGAGCCTCGTTGCCTGGGGTGGAGCATGCTTCATCAGGGTACTGAGATCCACTGGACTGCCATGCCATCCCTTCCCCAGTTCCCCAGCCCTATGAGGCACGGACCCAGCCAGAATTCCCTGGAGATGTTCCCAAAACCATGGGCATACTCCTCCCAGTCTCTCCAGAAGTCCGTCTGTCCATCCATGCGGCGCTGGAACACCTGGAAAGCAGACAGGGCCAGTGTCAGCCTCCGGCTCCTGGGCATCGGCCGCTGAGCTACACGGTTGTACACAGGGAGCTGGGCTCTGAATAGAACCCACCAACCAACCGCCTCCTTCAGTATCCATGTCACAAAACACATCCAAAGGCCGCTCGCGGTTGCCATTGAGGAAGATGGTGGTGGTCTTTGATGTGCTGGCCCCATTCTTCAGCTCCTCCCCGCAGTCCCGGGGGAAGGGGATCCGCAGCCCACCTGTGGAGAGGAGGTGGAGAGTCTGTCTGTCCTCTTTCTCAAATCTCAGACCCCAGCTGTCCCCTGAAGCTCACACCCTAAAGCCAGTACCAGTAGTAAAGGAAGTGGACACAGGCGGTGAGAGGCTCTTGCCCCAAATAGCCCGGAGCTGGGCGCTGTAGAAGGTGGAGGGGAAGAGGCGGAGAAGCCTGTGCGAGGTGGTTCCTGCTGGAAGCAGGATTACCTGGGGACAGACGAGGGACAGGTCAGTAGAGGGCGAGATGGAGACTCTCGGGGAGAGCCAGAGGTGGCACCTCCAAACCTAGCCGCGGAAAGCCAGTGGCCGGCCGGTGAAGCGGGGTACCTGAATCTGTCCTCCAGGCGTGTCAAAGCTGAGCAGGTAGCCTGTGGGCGCAACTTCAGGCGCAGTCCAAGTGAGCAGGGCCGTGCGAGGAGTCACTTCCTTGGCCTCCAAGTCCTGGGGGGGCTTTAACCCTGGAAGGGGAAAGGATGGAAGGAGACAGAAATGAGGTCCGTATCTGTTCCCTTCAATCTCCTGTGACCCCCACACAGCCCTGGCTATACCTGTGGTGAAGGTAATGCTGGCTGGGGAGGTGAAGTTAGGACCCCGGAGACCACGCACGGTGGCTGTGTAGTTAGTGTCAAGTGTCAGGTCCGTCAGTGGGTAGTCCACAGCGCTGCCAGGTGCGGAGGCCTGAAGGGGCGGGGCTGGAGTGGGAGGCGCATCAGCACCTATCCATCCATGCTGTACCCGGTTCCCCGCTCCCCGCCTCAAACAAGTCCTCTTTAGAGGAGGCTCCATCGTGCTCACCCCCAGGGGATGCGACCTGGACGTTGTATTCATCCACCGGGTTGTGGGGGGGTTTCCAGTGTAGAAGGGCAGATCCGTCAGTCAAGTTCAATGCCCGTAGCTGGGTGGGACCATCAGGCACTGGGCAAGAACAGGGAGCTCAGAGGCATTCCTACCCCGCTGGCTCCTCCCTCATTGGAGGTTGGAGCCCCGGGGTCTCCTTTGCCCGCATTACCCCCTTTCCGCGTTCTCGCTTTCTCTTTCTCTACCTCTCCTGGTGCTGGGGGCAGCCTTTCTTACCTGTGGTGAGGAATCCTGTGAGAGGCTCGCTCTCCTCAAAGCCACGGACGGAGACCACGGTCACCTCATAGCGAGTGTCTGGAGTCAGCCCCTGGAGGATCTGGGTCTGGGTGCGGCCATCCACCTGCACACTTTGTGGTTCTCCTGCCAACATGGATGAAGTCTGAGAACAGCTAGAGAGCAGGCAGTGTGCTGGGGTGGCGGTGGGCAAGAGAGGAGAGCTAAGGAGGACACGGGGGGGGGGGGAGTGCAGGGGGAAGGGATCTTCACCTCCGTCTGCTAGCTGGTAGGAGATTTTGAAGCTGTCCACCCTAGAAGGTGGCGGGACCCAGCTGACTTTGGCCGATGTTTCTCCGATGTCACTGAATTGCAGGTCCCGAGGGCTTTCCAGAACTGAGGTCATAACGGATGGGTACAGTGGGTAAGGCACGGATAGGCAGGCTCCTGCCGTATCTCCTTGGGTGCTCTGGCTCCAGAGAGGCCTGTTACCCCTCTATGGTAGGTTCCCCTGGACAGGTGTCACTCTTTAGGTGTCTTCAACCCCTCCCCCGCTCACCACACGTGTTACATGCTGCGTCCCACCCTGCAAAGCAAAAAAACCCCTCTTTGGTGCCCCTGTGGGTCCTCACCTGGGCTCAGAGTGCGAGCAGTGCCCTGGATGCTGTCTGCCTTGTGAGGCCCACGCAGCCCATACAGAGTAAGGCTGTACAGGGTCCCGGGACGCAGGTCTCGGAGCACGGCCGAGCGCCGCGCCCCTGGCACCATAAGCTCTCGCTGGAGCAGAGGGCGAGGATGCAGCTCCAGGGTACTTGGTAAGGGGACCCCAAAGCGCAGTAGGAAAGAGTCAAAGGCCCCAACGGGGGCTTCCCAGTTTAGCCGCAGAGAGCTGGTGGTCACATCTGACACTGAGAGCTGGGACAGGCGGGGCCCTGGGTCCCCTGGACCAGCAGGAACTGGATCTGTGGGAGGTGAGTAGGAGAAAAGGGTTTGGAGACAGATGCATACCAGCTTTTCGATTTTTTTTCTTTTTCTTGGTTTTTCGAGACAGGGTTTCTCTGAGTAGCCCTGGCTGTCCTGGAACTCACTCTGTAGACCAGGCTAGCCTCGAACTCAGAAATCCGCCTGCCTCTGCCTCCCAAGTGCTGGGATTAAAGGCGTG